TTTTTTTTTCGTGTGCCATGGCAACTATTTATAACATCTGGGAATGTGAAAATCTAGCGTGTGCACTGGATATGGGCGATAATATATATCTGATATTTATAAATACCGTGGAGAACTTCTAGCTGTTTGGGATCACAATTAAAAATATTCAGTTTGCACCTGAGCCAGCTGCCATTGGGATCTGATGAATGAGGCACCAAAATATTTGCTATCTGAAAAACAATCACAAATTTTATGGTATGTACATAAAAGCTACAATTAAAAATGTTCAGTGTTTGGGTACTTAACCAGAAAAAATTACCTGCCAAAAATCATATGCTGGTTGAACTAGGAAGAGAGGAGTCTTTATATTTCTAATAAATTCTTGAGGGAAGAAACACTGAGGACCAGATTCAGTAATCCGGCAACAAAAAATCATTAACGGAGAAATAATCCATATAATATTGGCAAGGACATCAAGGTTCTAGCCAGAAAAAATTGAAGTTTCAAAACAAGGTATACTAAAGAATATGTACCTTCGAAGGTTCGGATCTGGCAACACAATCATGATTCAAACTTTTAGCAACACTCTGTAAGCAAGGCAGTTTAAAATAGATTGTTAAAGACAAATTTAAATGTGAATAGCCAAATGCAAGGCAAGGGTGATGAAGCTTTAGGATAACCTGGAGATGCACAACATCATGATAAAAGGATTCTATGGTACGATTTCCAGCAATATCTTGCCTGTCCATGAAACCACATACATCTCAATTGACAGCGGACTGATCGAACAATGAAGCTCAATAAAGGGCCTCAGAGCAGTTTAATCTAAAGATTGTTTCCATGAGACTCTTGTCTCGAATTACATATAACTTATTTACCTGAAGATGATAAGAACCAACACAACCCTATATAGTCGTCACAAGTGGAAGTTTATTCCCATTCGCTTTTGTATATTCATTATAATTACAAAAGGCAACCATACGAGGAAAATATGAAAAATCAACCAAAACCTTAGAATATGTGGAAAATCTGGGGGAATATGATCATGAAGGTAAATACCTTTCACATAGTTTGGAAAATATGACTTTTTTAGAGGCCGAGGTAAGTTGAAAATGAACCCGACAAATCAACAATACAAGGAAATACTAACAAAGAGAGTGTCAGAAAACCCGAGAAAGTAAAGCACATACTCATTAAGAAAAAAACCTGCATCAGCAAGACACTTGACATTTGCATCTTTTGGCAGAAGATCCCGAAAACTATCACAGTGTATGAGAGTGGCCAAACCACCAGCAGAGCATCCTGTAAGAAGGGCCTGTGCAATTATGAAATTCACTTCTAAGAACCTAGCATTTCCAACTGAGAGTGAGTTTACCTAACAAAAGCATTCATCCATACTATCTCTATGGCATCAGAGTAAGATAGACTTCACCTGTCATGGGTCGTCAAGTCAACAATAATGACACAATTCAGGAAACAAAAGAGAAAAAGGACCCATGACCTTCTTGGTTATGTTTACCAAAGATATCATCACAGTAAGAGTTGGGCACTTGGAAATTGGTTTCATATGAGACACAAATTCAGTTCACTCAAAGAAGGATGCCAAAAGCATATTTGCACCATTAAATATTAATGCACTCACGACAGTTATTTCCTCATCCTCAAACACATGGCATAAACTCATGAAATAGATACTTAACCACGAAAATGGATGGATTATTGATGGAAACATGGAGAGAAAAGTTAGTTTATCTACCTCTTGAGCTTTAGACATTCCAATGGACAGGAGCTCTTCCATAAGTGTGTCCCAGGTAAGCTGTCCTCTGAAGAAAATCTTTGTTCCATTCTGGGGGATGGGCGAATTAAACATATTGGAAGTACTGTCATCACATTATTTCATTGTCTTGCACAAGCTTCGTAAAGAAGTGCACAAAGATTTCAACTTCTTCAGGATGACTTACTTTATACTCAGACTCAGGGTGACTAGAAAATGAGGATCCATCACAATAACGGATTTTCACCTTGTTCCAGTTGAAAAAATCTGTAAATGGAAAAAATCACAACTTAACAGAAGAATTGAAAGATCAAGTTTGGAGTTCCTTGAGGAGATAGTAATCACAATAACGTATTTTCACCTTGTTCCAGTTGAAAATATCTGTAGATGAAAAAATCACAACTTAACAGAAGATTTGAAAAATAAAGTTTGGAGTTCCGTGAGGAGATAGCAACCCAATACACAGCCATATGTTTCCAACCAAACCACATATTTGCAGAGAGGCCAATAAAGAAACGGAAATTAAATTGCAATTACTACTTGTTTTGCGAGTCAAAGTACTTGTAGATCAGTCTACAAACAGAAGGACTCTTCCAAGTAACAAATAAACTTGTAAGAACCATTGTTAAAACATAAAACAGAAAGGAAAATCATACAGAAAATAACCAACTGTAAACTGTGTGATATACAAATCGATGAAGTATACATAACATGAAGTTGCATCTAAAATAGCAACACGTAATACAAAGAAATACAAATACGAGTGCTATACACAAAAGTAATATTAAGGTAAAATTAGGATATGGCCAACAATGCACAACATACCAGGATTCTGAAGAGGGTCATGGCTCAAAATTCCTAAAAACTGGACTTGATGTTCCATGTAGGTTGACGAACCCAATTTCGTTCTCTCCCGAGCATAACAAGATGATAATGTACTGCACCAGCCTCCGCCCTGTATAGGAGATCCAGTTTATATAAGAAATTAATCCATCAACGTAACAAATTCCTCCACCAAGTTATGCCACACAAACATCAGCAAGATGAGTTCCTATTGACCAGGGCCATTATTGCACAATAATAGTATCGTCTAATCATGTTAGTTACATGCCTACAACATATAACCTTACAGACATGCTTACAAAAATTGACATGAGGCTTCTTCTGTGTAAGCTCTACTTAGAAAGATGTTCGACTTTCCAAAAATTACATGATAAAATACGAGATTTCTATACTCGGAACACAATTACATGCTTCTGCCGGAGTACACTACCTCTTACTGCACGTACATTGTCATGAAACATATATAAAAATTACATGAATGTCCATGAATGAGCATAATATTGTTGCCATTGACCAAGCAAGTCAGACAAAAAATTTGAGTCCAAAGAAGACCAGACTGTTAACTAGCTCCAACAACAGGTTTTAATCGAATTTAATACAGCAATTTCGACAGTCTTTCTGCAGATCAATTAATCTTTAACACAGTACAATAAGATTCTCACTTAGTTTACATCAAACCAGGAATCGTCACTACAATAATCCAATATTCTCAAACAGTTAGCTGTATGTTAACCAGTGAAGGGGAAACCTCAACGTGAAGAAGCCAGTTATCAGAGCCAGATCCAAATCCCCTCCTCACATGATAGCCAGGCACACTCCCATCTAAACAAACTGCAAATACCAAATCACCAAGAATAATACAACAGCATAAAAAGTAAATTCAAATTTCTAATTCATCCAAGAAAAATATAAACAGCAAACGAGAGCAAGAGATTATTACACGCGGAATTTTCCTTCGCCTTGGATAAAGGCGTGAACGGTATCCACTCCGAGTCAACGACGGAATTCGCATCAGCGTTCGCATTCGCAGCTCTACGCGAGACCGATATTGGTGAGAAAATGAGAAGGAAAAGGGATATTCCGGCGGCGGCGGCAGCGGCGGCGATTGTCCGCTTCCGGTTTGATAATTTGCGCCGCCACGGCCATGAAATGGTTCCGCCGGTGGCCAACCGAGCTGGTCTGTACTGGTTAGCTGACATTTTGTGCGTGTGGGCAGATAGACACTAATCAACGGCGATCTGTAACAGAAAGATCAATCGGAGGACGAAAAGTAGCTGGTGGTAATTGTACCTTGCGGTACCACTCCTCTAAGCTATTATGTTAGATCTATTTTTTATGGTCGTTTGGTAAAGGGCGTTTTGACAAAAAATTAGCGGTTAAGGGGGTGATTGTTTACAAAATAATTTACTCACTTTTATTTCAACTCAAAATATAACTCAACTTTAACTCAATCCCACTATTTTTAATATTATTCATATAATTAAATAATAAAAACTAATCATTCTTACACATCACATCAATTTAAATTCACTATTCTTTCACTCACATAATTTTAACTACCTATCATTTCCAATCATTTCCAATCATTTATCTCTTACTTTTACATCAAATTAATTTTAATTATTTTATTTTAAATATTATTTTAATACATTCTTAAAATTCCACTACAACTAATCATACCACAATTTTCAAAATTAATCATAGTTAACCAAAGTAACTCAATTTGAACAAATTATTTCATAAACAATCAAGCCCTAAGGTTTTTAGCTGTTTTGACTTTTATCAATACATCAAAAATTGTGTTTGGTTAATAGCGGTTAAGTTGGCTTTTTTATGTCCAATCCGCTGAATAGGAAAAGCTGCAACTAGCAGCGTTTAGCCTTGGCTGTTCAATAAAAAAAATTCATGTTCCAATTTAACCCTCACACTAGTACAACACCCGTGTATTACACAGGTGCTTGTTAAAAATTTATTCTTAAATTTTAAAATTAATGAGAAAAATATATTAAATTTAGTTTACTTTCTTACAAAAGAAATATATTACTAAATATTTTAGAATGATATGTGTTACTTATGACTTACATGTGTTATATTATATTAGTTTTTATAACTTATATCATATAACTACTTGAAATATAAATATATTAGTTGATAAATAATTTTATTTTTTAATTAATATTAAAAATAATTTTATTATTGTTAAAGATAAATATAAATTATTTTTTTTATAGATACAATATGGATGTTATATCGAAGCTCATCAAAAGAAGAGTAATTTGATATATTACTATGTAAAACTGATAAAAAATACAAAAGTTATTAACTTTTTAAATATATATCCAATTCAATAATTATAATAAGGAGTGATATTAAAATGCAATTAATACATGTAACATGACCATAAATAATGAACATATTTATGGTAATCTGAACCTAATTATTTTTTGTTTGGAATTAAATTAAAATTTACCCAATTCTAATTACGAAGCATGTAATTTTGTCACATATAATTCTGAAGCACCAGAAACAGCCATGTAGACTCAGCGCGTTTTGAATTAATATATATAGGGGGATGTCCACCACCTTTCCGTTATGCATGGGTTAATTTTGACAAATTAAAGTTCAGTTATTATTTTACATTAAAATAACTTTAAACTAACCAACAATTTTTTTTTATTTCAATTGTAATAAAAATAAAAAGAAAGAGCCCCCCAACTATAAAAGAAGAAAAAAGTGATTTAATAACAAAATAGGTACCTTAATTGAAGAGGCTCGGGTTAATTTTGTTGTTAATTATTATTGTTTTTTTATATTAATTTGAATTACTTTTAAATATATAAAATATGAATAATTTACACTTTCTAAGTAATTACAAATTTAACATTAGAAATAAATTAATGAATATCCTTTTATGTAATTTTGCATGGTAACAGATATTTACAGTCAGCTAATTTATCAAACAATTTCATAACCAACCGCTAATAAAACCGCAAGTCAAAACAGCTGACACAATCCGCTAGTCAAAACAGCTAACACAATCAGCTAACAGCTAACCACTGATTACCAAACAAGGCCTATATATAGTTTTTCGAGTCACTTAGAGGTGGCCAGTCAACGGGCCGTGACCTGGCCTGAACCGCCCCGCTGGGCTGGCGGGCCTCCCATGGGAGACCCTTAACCGGCCCGCCAAAACTCAAGGGCCAGCCCGTAGAATCGACCTTGTCCCAGCCAGGTCCCGGACCTTCGGGAAAAGAGAAAATAAAAAATAAAAAATAAAGAGGACTCGGACACGGCCCGTAAAGCCACGGTGTCGGTTCTCAGAACCGGCCCCGATAAATATGTTTGCTTTTATATTTGAACTAGTGCGTATCCCGTG